GGGTGATCGGCCCCGCCCCCCCCCCCCCCGCTGGTACCCGGGGGTGGGTGGTCAGTGCAGGCCAGCCCCGGCCCGCTGGTACCCGGGAGTGGTCACTGCAGGCCAGCCCTGGTCCACTACAGTCCTCGTGCTTCTATTCTGCTGTCGGCCTCCATTCACCGGGCCCCTCCCTCATCAAAGGCAACGCCTAAGCCAAGTGGGGCCTTGTTCACACTCAGTGGAGACAGCAAGAACACCTGTCTTTCAAGGGCAGGTGCAGTCCTTCCCCTCGGTCAGCCTGTGCCAAAGGAGGCCAAGCCCTGGTCCCCGGTGACACTGCGACAGCCCCTCATCTACGGCAGGCGTCCGGCAGTCGGCGCGGCTGGGGCAGCACGTCATCGTTAGCTGAGACGGGGTGCCGTCAGCGTCCTCGGAATCCTAAGGAGGGAAACCAGAATGAAACCAACCTGCTGACAGGGAGCACAGGAGCACGCCTGGAAAATGCCCAGAAAAACAGAAGACACACATAATTAAAGAGCCTTGGTGGAGGGGGTCAACGCTTCCTCCCTTACACATAAATACATACGTGTATATATTTCCCATCGAAAATTCTCAAAGCATCCGATAACAGACACGTGTTCCCGTCAGCAAGCACACGCATGCTCCACACGGACGGCACTGCGGGCTCGCGTGGAGCCAACCTGTCGTCCAGCGGTAGGCGGCCGTGGGCTGAGTTAAAGTGGTGGCTGGCGATCTTCAAAGTCCAACACGGGGCTTGAGCCGGGTTAAAGGTCTGAAACATACTTATAACCCGTGAACTTCCCATCCAGAGGTTTAGCACATGCGTGACGGGGCGGTTAGACCACCTCACGCTCGGGCAGCTTCCTCTGGTCATCTTTCTCGAGAGCCGGCGTTCTTCCTCGGGAGCGACGGCGTTGCCTTTGGCTCCCCGACAGCGGCTCTAGTCTGTGGATGCCGCAACGCTAGGCAGGTATTTGGGCTGTTCTCCAGCGTGCATGTGTTCACAGAGCCTGGTGTTAATGCCTACGCTCGTTTTCCCAGTGGGGTGCTCAGGGAACACTGGGACTGGACTGACAGACAGAAAGGCTGCTGCGGAGCTGTCTCGCTGTGCACATGTGAGAGGCGGGGGGACAGCAGTGCCCCTCCGTGCTCCGTCGTAAAGCAGAACAGCTGTCCTTCGGCCGAATTCCTCAGCGCCACCACCCAGGGACACAGCAGTTAAATTCAAAGCGACTTTTGACCGCACTTACGTCTCCTGAGCGGTCAGCAGCACACCGTGTGGAGGGACGTGTTCGCAGTGCTCAGAGTTCCACGCGGCTCTGTTTCCCGGACAGTTCTTAAATTGAAGTGGAAGCCACTGGTCTCCAGGAGCGTGAGTTAAGTGCACGCATAAGACGACACTCGGAAAAGTAATGGCGTCATTAAGGAAAGGGGTTTTGCAAAACATGTTAACAGAGACCCGTGCGTTCCGGCTGTAAATCCTCCGCTTCCTTTCTGAAATGACGCAAGATTCTGCCTCCTGGTGGAGCGCGAGGGGTCAGATGTGTGTCCCTACAGGTAACGGGTCTGTCTTCAGAGAGGACAAAAGGCCCAGCCCCTTTCTGAGATAGGAAACAGGTGGTCGACGGGACCACGTCTGAACGGATCTTGTGTAGTAACAGAACAAGGACCGGGGTCTTTCTAGAAAACTCCACCCTTGGTGGGAAAGAATTCCCCGTGGTGATGAAACCAGGGCACACAGCGGACAGATGTGTCCGCCACATGTCAGCACGCTGGTCCACCAGGCAGAGGCTTCACAAAACCGCTTCACGGTAAACCAGAGAGACGCCGCGGCCGCTTTTCAGAGAGGAAAACGGAGCCTTGCAGAAGGGAGTCTCATGGCTAGAGGAATCGGTCGGGCTCCATAATCGCTGCTGCGTAAACCCCAGGAGTCCAGCGCGGCCAACCCCGGCCCCGTGACTGTGGACGTGTGACCGGGACTCGCCCGTGTGCCAAACAGGAGCAGGCCATGCAACGCTAACCCCACACGGGCGACGGCCAAGGCGTACCCAGCAGTGTCCCGGGTGAGTGGGCCTTCAGCACAGGACACAGCGGAGCAGCCCTGCAGCGTCACCAAGGGGTCGACCTGAGATGTTAGGAGCTTTTTGAGTTCTGAGAAAAATAATGAGATTCAAGCCAAAAGGAAAATCATGTTTCCATCCCTCTTCTCCTGGCAATGCTGGCGAGTCTCTGTCCTGGCGTCTGCCTCCTCTTATCGGTAAATAAAGTCGCGTTGACCCATCCGGTCAGTGGAATTCTTGACATTCTGTTAGAACAGTCAGCAGCAATGCGTCTCGAAGCAGCCATGTTGGGCTCAGTTCCCTGTACAGTGTCTCCTAGGGAACTGCATAGCCTCTTCCTAATGTTACTTGCCAGAGGGTGCACGCACTTGAAAGCCACGGAGGGAAATGGGGACAGAGAGAGAAGAAAGGCACCCCTAACAGGGCACGGGCATGCCACCATCCCCTCTCCTCCATTCTGCCAGGGTTTGGGGTACACATACACAGGAGTCTAGTGTGTTACTGGGGCTGGAGCTTGAACTACTCAGTTGGCCATGTGGGCTCTGGTTTCCTTAACCTCCAGGCCATGGGGTGGCCCTGGCCTCATACTGATCTTCCCTGAGGGCAGGAAACAATGCCCTACCTCTTACGTAAACCCATGCATCTCTGAATACAGAGATAGAAGGAGCAAAGCCTAAGGGGTGGGTAGCGTGGACGTGGGTGATAGAGGAAGAGAATGCAGGTGCATGATAGCTAGCTCTCGACAGACAGACAGACAGGCGGGCAGACGATAGACAGATGATATTAGGTCATCAGGAGAGCCATGATGTACTTTTCTCTGTGTTGTTGTAATGCAAAAATGCATCATGTCTCTCCCGGCGACTCGATGGATGGACGGATGGAAAGATGACAGACAGGTCAGTATTGCGCACTGCCGGGTGGCTGGCTTCCTTTCCGTTACCCATGCAGGTCACCCTCAGCACTCTTCTCTCCTTTTACAAACCAGTCGCGTCTTGCTGATAGAATCAAATCTAGCCTTCAAGCCCATCCTTCACTTCTCGTATCCACGACTGTGATCGAAATATCCCCATTTCCATCTAAACCACTGCGGGTATGTCATCCATTCTTAATCGCACTCCAGTCTGCCCTCCGCACTGCAGATGGCGATCTTTGAGAAATCCACCTTCGATAATGTCCTTATTTGTGCTTAAACCACATCGATGAGTTCTTCCTGCTCTTAGGAGAGACACCGGAACACATAGGCACATAAGACCTGTCGTCTTTATCTAACCCTTGCCTAGTTCCCAGCACTTTTTAGACCTAGATCTTCCAGGCACAAGACAGCTGGAGAGCTCTGTTCTCTTGCCTAAAAGGCGAGGGTGGGTCAGAGCTCAGCGTCCCACCAAGTGTCTCTGGGCTCACCCCCTCCGTTCTAGCAGTAGCGCTCACTCTCTGACTGTCCTAATGTTCTCCAGGAGTGCCCTTGGAGTGAGGGTTCCTTTCCTTTTCAGCATGCGGTTGTTTATTAGTCTCCGTCTGGGTCCCAGAAGTGGTCTGTGGTCCCCAGATGGCGACGGTGCTCCAGGTGTGAGCTGACAAAGAGCGCTGAGCTTGGCCGTGCACCTCCTGCGCCATCGCCTGCTCCCCTCAGAGAGCCTTGTCCACCGCTGACCCCAGTTACCTAAGCCTCTTTGTCCCTTTCACACGCTGGTCCTCAGCTGCATCTTCACGGCGATGGTACTTGTGCACAGAGCGTTTTCAGCCTGAAAGCGTAATTTGGCATTTTTCTCTAAAATATCTCATTGGACGCGGTCCATCGTCATCCGCCTGAGGAACTGTTTGAGAACCCTGGGTATGATGGGATTGAGCTGCTCCACTGGCTTGTTCCACGGTTCCGCACGACTGAGGCAGCGATGTTCACAGTCGGCCTGAGAGGGGAAGAGCACAAACAGACAGGAATGGGCACTTGTCATAACTGCGGGTTTTATGTCACGTGTACCCGCGACTAGCGTGGTATCAGTGTCCTTGTTCATGTACATTCTGAAGAACGCAGGAAGGACGAGTCCTTACGGAGTTCTGACGCTGCCGGGAGGACACACTGTTCAGATCCTTCCCACCTCATGAGCTGCTCTCTCTCCATGTCCCCCTCGTCCCTTGTCGTCTGCCTCCCCTGTAAACAAGGCACTGCTCTGGGACGACCTTCGGGATTATCTTCTGCCTGCTTTAGGTCCCTTGAGAATCCCACTCTCTCTTGCGTCTTTAAGTATCACGTATTTGTGATCACTCCACAGCGAGTGTCTCCAGCCCAGAGCTCCTCCCCGAACTCCACTAGACGTTTCAGACTTGCCTGTCCTCAGCCGAGCTCCAGATCGCCACACGGAGCACGCTCCTCCTGGACCCCTCAGGTCAGCCAATGGCAATGCCAGCATTCCCGTCACTCAGCCCCGAACTGTGGGGTCCTTTGCTCTCAGACCTCACATCCGGTCTCTGGTGCTTCCGCCCTGCCGTACACTCAGATCCTGACCCCTTCTCATGCTAACACCCCGGGCCCTGTCGTCATCTGACACACCATCTATTTCACTTACTTCTCACTTTCCATGAAGACACCGTAAGACGTTGTGCCACGCACAATTTGTAACCGACATCCCTGATGCACGATGCCTACCGTGTTCTCAAAACTCATCGAGTATCTAGTCCCCCCAAGTTTCCTTACAAGTTTCGTGAAACTGCCTCTCACTCCTTCAACTTGCTCACCCCCTCAACCTCGTTCTCCATAGCACTGACGTCTCTTACTGCAAAACCTCTGAAAACTGACAACTGTTACTCTTGTCACCAAAACATGCCCTTGAGTTTGACCTCCTCTCCCTCTCCGATTCTTCCCCACTTCCTAACACTTTCATGTCCCCATTAACTGAAAGGGCTTTTTGCCGCCCCTCCCACCAACCTGCTCCAGCAGCTCCGCCACCTCGTGAGGACGAGCGTGCAGCCGCTGCCTCGCCCAAGCCCTCCGTGCCGTTCCCCACGCTGACAGTACAACTCGGAGTTCTTACGAGACCCCGAGGCCCGCCATCGCCTGTCTTCCTCTTTGGCCGCATGTCCTGAGCTGAGCGCCTCACTGAATCTCTAGACCCGCTAGCCTGTGGCCGTCCTGAAGCTGCGATGTCCTTATCTCTGGGATTTGCCCCCGCCCGCCATGCTCAGAAACCTCCTCCCCAAGCAGGTCTCACAGGCGACTCGGGGCCCAGTAACTCCTACCTGCGTAGTGGCCTCATCAGGCCGTCCGGCTGCCCTCCAACACAGGCTCCCCGCCCCACGGCTCGTCACTGCTGCCTTGAGATTCGAACCCACCCTGTGCTGCGTATTTATGGCCAAGGCCTTTCTCCCTCCAGACCTGAGGTGAGGGCAGAGAGCCTGTCCGCCTTGGTGCACAGCCCACAGCTCCCGGGGCGTGGGCTGGCTTACGGTAGGGGCCCGCGCTGGTGGCACAAACACGGGCTGCGTGTGGAAGGGCCGGTGGCTCTCCCACCCACCGAGGCGATGCAGACGCAGCATCCACGAATGCCGCACCTTCCCCCGTGGGTGTCGGGATCGGCTGGGGGGGGGG